TTTAATATAAAAATTTGCTATCGTTATAATTAACAGTTAATCAATAGTTTTTGTATAACTATAAACTTATTTGTAATCAATATATTTAATATATTGTAATAAAATAAAAATAAAAATAAAGCTATTAGTATTCTGGTTTTTTTTTTTTAATGCAAACAAATCGAACTTGTATAATATGCATTTTAATTTCTATACATAGATCATGCAAGTCTGATTATATTCTATTTTAACTCACAACAATTATCTGAAAATAAAATCTGACTAAAATCTATAAATAAGTCACGCCTTTTTTTTTATGCTTATAATAACTGATTAACTCATTCGTTTTATATAATATATCATACTTTCTTTTAAGTACACGTTAGCAGATTTTATTCTTTCGCGTCATAATATATCATACTTTTAGTTGAGCCATGTTAGTTGATATACCTTTCGCTACGTTTATATTTTATTTAGAAGTAACTATTATATCATCATTCAATAATTAAATATAACAGTATTATATATTTAGTCTAAGGTGAATTATATAAGAAACGATTTTTTTTCTTTTTCTTTCTTTCTTTAAATAAAACTATCGAACAAATGATATAACTAAACAAAAACCTTTTTGACATTTTTGGTTCTATATTTTTACACTTATTTCTTTTTGGAAAAATGCGAGACAGATGACCTTTTAAAATAAATCTTATATGATATCATTGATCTATTTCGCCTTCTATGTAATCAAATCACAGTTATCATTCAAGCTATGGTCATGACCGCTCTACAACTTCTCACAGTGTTAGTTCAAGCTGCAACTGCTCTTTAATTCTTTCTGGTCAAACCGAAACAATCATCAGCAAGAAAGCTATAAGCGAAGGTCTAGATCTAGGTCTAGATCTAAGTCTCCAAAAAATGATAGAAGTAGTAAATGTTCTAAGCACCGTTCTAGTTCATAGGATAACAATAATATAGGTGAAATAAATTATACCTTACTTTACAGAAACTTGCAAATAAGCAATTTTAATACTATTTTCAATTAATTTAATTTCGCAAGTTTCAGTAAAGTTTTTTTTTTTAATAAAGCTATTGATTTACCAATAGGTTTAACAAATTATTTTATAATACTAGTATTAAATTTTTTGAAAGATGCGGTTCATACGTTAATTAACAAAGTCACAAACTAAAAAAGACATCCCGAGCCCAACTCCAAGCAGACAAGACGAAGGTGATAATAACTATAATTATCAAAGTGATGAAATAGTTGTTACTATCGATACTATGGGTCTTTTACAACTGTTAAATAATTGTGGTCTAGCAGTGATAGAGAATGAAATGAACAATATTTATCCCTCT